AATAGATGTATGGTATTTAATCTAACAAATAGACCAAAGATTAATTTTAGAGATAGCTTGCCCAATTGGTAGGCAGGTGTTTCTGTTTATATGTTGTTAGTCTGATGTACCATAAGGGCAAAAATAAGTATATTTAATGTGATTATATTTAGACGTGAAGTAGTAGAGGGTTGAGATTTTGGTTGGTTGTAAGTTATATTGATATTATGCTGTTTTCTCTATTGAGAAAAGTTAGGACAGTATGGCTTCCATAGCTGATCATATAGGAGTGAGTTAATTTGCAGAAGTAGTTCAATAATAATATGTGAAACCTGTTTATAAGAAAGACCAAAGTCTTAAATAGTCTGTATAAGAGATATAGGGATGAGGCCTCTGAGTGTAGTGTCAAGAGAATAGCTATCAGATTGAGGTGGTGTTTGGTCAAGAGCTTTATATTATAAGATTTTGTAAATAAGGTTATTTAGTTGATTAGAAGATAAGTCTAGTTTAGCTTTATGAAAATATTTAGTCACAGTTTGAGTTAATATATTAGGAAGTAGGGAAGGATAGAAGCAAGTACACCAATGTGAAGAAGAATCAGGAAGGTTACAATGAAAGCAAAGAGAATTATTAAAGATATTTGAATATCTATTATAGTAGAAAAAGTGTGTAGATAGTTCATAAAATAAGAATTTAATTTTGAAAGCCTTGAGTAAGTTTAGTTTAAAACTAGTGAAATTGCTGGTGGGTTTTAATTGTGATTAAAATAAAGCCAAGTAAATCTCCAGTCAATTTGTGATGAGTAGGGTGACTATTCAGCATTACATTTTTGGGATGATCATATTGCTAAGATGTGTGCTTTACAAATCCTTTTAATGAATAGTCTAGTAGATAGTTCAACAAAATGTTGTTTCTATTGAAGGATATGGTAAGGATTATATATATTAGTATAGTTAAAGAATAACGAGTTAGATGTTAGGTATTGTTTGGCTAAAGAGTCAACAAGGTTATTAAAGATATTATCAGTATGAGCTTGTATTTTATGAAAATTGATATGAAGATTAAAAGATTTAATTATGTATGCCAAAGTGGCCAGGTACTGAGTTTAAAAAGTTTGTTAGGATTAAAAGAAGGAGAGCTTAGTTTGAAAAATTTTGAAATAATAGATTGGGAATCAGTATAGATATTAATAATAGAATTACAAGGAGTTGTGAAGATAGCTGATAAGATGAAAAAGAGTTCTGCTTTATATAAAGATGGCCAAAAGTATATTTTTGCTAGAATTTGTGTATAATATGATCATCATTATCAAGTTGTACCTAGCCAATATCCATAGTGTATTGGCTAGAGCCTATTTCTATAACAGAGCCATCAGTATAAAAGTTAAAGTGTAATTGGGCAGAGTTAGTATTATAAAATTGTTCAAGTTGATCAGCTGAAAGTCCAGACTGAAAAATATATAATATGGTAGAGTTGGAGATTGGAATAGAAAGTGGGTGTTTAATAGCAGTAGAATAAATAAGATCAAAATAATTGGCATTAAATTTAAGTAGCTGAGAGGAGGTTCTGCCAAAAAATTGTGTGGATATTGTGGTAAATATGTTAATTATACAAGTATTGCTAATTCTGTCAGAATTAAGATAATATCCAGAGCAAGGCTGCCAATGGGTTGCAGAAAGAGGGTAGAGGTTAGAATGTGATGTATTGATGTCAGTTTGCTAGTGGGTAATAAAAATTAAATTGTTAGGAAGGTATCGACGTATTTTGCCAATGATGATTTCTTGATTAATGTAAGAAAGGAGCCAGAGTTTAGATTTTTTAGAAATATGATGAAAGCTGAATGTGAAAGGATTTATGCCTTGCTGTTGGTATTAAGGGTGTATAATATGGGAATCGTAGTGTGTGAGGACAATATCTTCGAGTTAAGTAAATCAGAGAGTGTTTTTGCCTTTGGGTAGTTGAAGAAGCCTAGGTGAAAGGTGTATCCAGTCTAAAAATATAGAGTTATCTGCAGATATATTTGTTAGGTCCATTAATCTTCGGTTGAGGGTGTTGGAGTATGTTGGTAGTTGACCGAAGATTGTTTTGGAGTTGTTGTAGTCTGATATGAGTAGAAGTACCTAAAAGGTTAGAGTTGTTAATGCATTGAAGTAAATTGGTAATATGATGTTGCAGTTGAATATCCCATATATTATGTACATTGTAGAGATAGGGTTGAGCATAGTGCTGTTAGGTGTTGATCTAGCTAGATAAGATTTATGCTTAATAATAGTAAGATATTTGGCTAAAATTTGGTTACATGTAGTATGTGGGAGTATAATATTGTGAATTTGGTATTCTAGAGTAGGAATGATGACAGTGTTGATTATATAAATGATTTGTTTGTCAGTAATCTTTTAGTACTGGCAATATTAATTAGCTGGAATATTTCTTCTTTAATAAGTTTAATATGTTGAGTGTCTTTGTTGTCTAATGTAAACCAACAGCCTAAGAATTTGAAAGGTATATTATAAGGTAAAGAGTTAAGAGTTGAGCTAGAGAAGATGATATGGGTAGGTTGTTGATTAGAAATGAATAGTGATTTAGATGGGTTTATTTGTATGTTTGCCATATTATAAAAGAATATTGCAATATTAATAATTTTTTTGAGTTCATCTTTAGATTGAGCTATCCAAAGTGTATCATCTATATAGGCCAGGACGGAAACAGATGTGCAAAGACTATTGCTTTTGGGTGGATATAAATTGGTTTTTCATATTGTACGAAGTATATAACTAGTAAAGTGTAATGCGATTTTGTTTATGAGTAGGTCATAATAGATTCTTCAAAATAAAGAAGTTATTGTTTCACCTTGATTAATTCTATTTTGAACTAAATAAGGATTAGTAAGGCCAAAGTTGGTGATGACTCTGTTATGGCGATTAGTTAAAAGATTGGTAAGGATGTTAGTAAGTTGAAGTGGCATATTCAATCTGACAAGGGATTTATAGAAGAGTTCTAAATTGACTGAGTCATATGCTTTGCTCATATCTTGTGATATAAGCCAAAGTTGTTTAGAATTGCAGGTGGCATCTTCAATAATATTGTTAAATATATAGATAGAGATAGCAGTACAGTTTCCTAGAAGTGCAATATAGTTATAAGGAGATAGAATTGAGTGTTGAGAAAAGATAGTATTGAGACGATTAGTAAGGATTTTTGTGTTGAGTTTTTTAGTATGTTCAAGGAGACTAATTGGTCTTGTATTAGATAAATTTCTATCAAAAGTAGATTTTTTAAATATTAGAAATATTCTGCCTTCTTTCTATTGGTTAGGGATACAATTTAAAATAATACATCTGTTGAATAGGGCTGTGATTGCTTGAAGAAATATAGATCTAGCATGTTTAATCATTTTATAACTGATGCCAGATAGGCTACATGCTTTATTGTTAGGAAGTTGTAATATAGTATCAGATACTTCTTGTATAGTAATTTCTTTAGTGACTTCTTGATACCAAACAGTGTTTATATTATTCCTTGGGTTATATTTATCTTGCCATGTGGAGTTATATAGCTGATTATTGATTTGTCTATAAGCGGTCTACTGGTTGAAGTGGTGCTGAATGTGGCTTTTAATATCTTGGGGGTTAGTGATAACATCATTGTCAGTTTTGATATTATCAAATCTGACAGGATCCTTATGGCGATTGAGTATACTATTAATCATAGATATAGGATTAGATTGAAGTTTATTGCAGCATTTTGTAATGTTTTCGTCAATTTGATGATGCATCTCTTTAATATTTTCAATGTTATGAATGTGATATAAAGCTTTCATTCAGTGTTAGTACTGGCAATCCAGTCAGATATATGGTTATAGTAGGTTAGTAGAGTGAGAATATTAAGTTGATATATAGAGTTTATATGTATGATTTTGGTGTTAAGAGTATATGGTATAGGTGTTTTAGATTTTAGTGCATGTTTAACTTGTCGAATGATACTGCCAAGTGTTTTGAGGTTATAGTGAAGAAGAGAAACTTTAGAAGAGAAGATATGCTGAAAATTGCATACAGTGAATTTTTTGTTGGGTATATATTTTCTAGTAGTAGTGGTAATACTAGTCTATATTTTATGCCAGGTTAATTCTAGTAATTCTGAAGAGTTGGTAGTAAGAGGATATTATGAGAATTGAGATTAGAGGTAGTTTGGTCAGCAAATTTCTGCCATTGGTTATTGTTCATATTATTATAAAAGAAAGTTCTTCTATGGGTTTTGGTAGCTGAGCATTGCTTGCCAATATAAGTATAAAAAAAGAACCATGAAGAGACCAAGATTTTATAATCACTATTGGTGCTAGTATTAGAGTCTTCTAAGTTAAAAGAAGTTAAATATCGGAGGATAGAATAATGTACTTAAATGTAATCTATACGGCTGCTGTATCTACTACTATGCTAAGTAGAAGAGAGTGAGTAGACGCGAGAGGCTAAATCAAACATATTGTTGTATTGAAGAAAGTGGAGAAGTTTGTATTTAGTAGCTAGAGAGTGTGTATGATTGTTAGAGGCATTGAAGTCTCTTATGATTATAGGTTGTATATTGAGAGTAAGGGACTGTTGAATCTATTGAATAACAGAGTTTTAAATTTGTAGTCTGAGTTGAAGGTCATCATTAGGAAGATAAACAGTAATGATTCTAAATTTAAAATTATGTTTGAAGAAAATGTCTATAGCTATAGCATAGTCTAAAAAAGTGATAATATTGTGAATATGTGATTTGAGGTAGTTTTGAATCATTAGAGCAGTGCCTGCTTTAGAAGTATTGGTACAAGACCAATAATAAGTGAATTGGTTTGATTTTGGAAATTTAGTAAGAGCGTTATCATGTGCAATCTTAGTCTCAGTTAGGCCAATAATACTAAGACAGAAGTCTTCCCAAACTTGTCTTTTAAGGTCTTCATTAAAACCTTGAATATTGTATATACTGATGAGTAGATTGAGGCTATTATCTGAATAATTAGATTTGGAAGATGGATTAGGAGTCTAGGTGAATGATATAATCTGATCAAGGTTGTTATTATTATTAGATGATTGTGAATCTGTATAGAGCTCAGGAGCAGGTGGTGATAAAGGAAGTAATAGATTAGATATATCAAGTGACCAAGTTTGCTAGTTATTCATTGAGGCAGAGGAGTTTAAATTGTTAAAATGAGATGAGGAGCTAGATTTAAGAGGTATATGTAAAAATTGTTTAAGAGTATGTGAGGTAAGTAAAATATGATTGGGAAGTATAGATAAATCATAAGGAAGATATATATATGCTTCGTAAAATTGTTTGTGTATTGAAAAGATAAGGTTGAGGTTTTGGTTTTTAGACCAGAATGAGTGTAAATAAAGTATAAATGATGCAATAGAGGTAGGTACAAAAATAGGAGAAATTTGGTAGAATTGTAAAAATCTATTGTAGCAGGTAAACAGATTATAGGGTTTTAATGATATTGAAGATAAGCCTGTCTGGTTTGTATTTTTTACAGAGTTGCTCACCATATACCCAGTTCTCACAGTTTCCAAAGTACTTGTAGCCTGCCCTGTATGTTAGGTCTAACCGTTATTATCCCAAGTCTTCAGATAAATTTAAATTAATTTTTATTAATTAATTATTTATTAATTTATATAATTTTTATAGAATGAAGTTTTCGTGATAATACTCTTACAATTATATATTTGACTGCAGATATTTTATATTTATTTTATATACTCAATATTTGGAAGCTATTAGAGAAAATCACCAATTTGAAGTTAGATTAACAACATTTTATAAAATTTGGAAAAAATTTTTGCTACATATTAAAAAATTAACACCACGCAGTGATTTATATTTAAAGTATAAAGATATGAGATTTAATGCTATTTATTAGTCTATTGAAAAAAAAGATATTAAAGTCTCAAAGTGGCATAAACATATTAAATGGGCACATAAAGAAAAAAAAAATTATAAGTAAGCAATTTGGATGTTCTATAGAATAGGTAGGCAATATAAGAAATAAGCTTCGCTAATAATTAGTAATTATTAATTATTAATATCAGAGTTACAGAGTTGGCAAAGTTTGCCCACTTATTCTATAGAACATCCAGCAATTTAATAATTTTATTTTATTAAAAACTATTAATTTTTTTATTTTTTTATTAGAAAATATATTAAAATAGTATATAAAGATGTTCAAAATTTTGGAATTAATAATTTAATACATTCTGGAAAACCAAATTCATTAAATATTATAATTCATCTTTCTTAGAATTATGCACAACAAATTCAATTACCATATTCATCACAACAAGAAGTAAATTAATTTTTAATTATTAGATTAAATAATTTATATTATATATTAATTTAAATTAAATTTATTAAGATGAAATTTATTTTAAATCTTTATATAAAGTTCATTTATTTGAAATATGTGATGATACTTTTCCACATCAACTAAGTATTATATAAATTAAAATAAAATTAAATAAATATTTTAATTGGTGATTTGCCAGTCAACCAGAGAAGATCTACAAATTTTTATAAGTAAATTTTACTATTGAGCCAAATGTGAGTGCACCAATCTAAAACTTTTTTTTACTAAGTAAATCAATTTTGGGCTCATAATAAAAGTTGTAAAGTTCATCAAGATGCATCTAATGGTGGTAAGAATGTTAAAATTGGCCTGGTAGTTCCTAAGAAATCTTTAAAAACGTTTTGCTAACATATAAAATTTCTTTAAAAAAAATTAATTTTTTTTAAAGAAATTTTATATATTAGCAAACCGTTTTTTTAAAGATTTCTTAAGAATTACCAAGCCAATTTTAATGTTTTTACTACTATTAGATGCATTTTGATGAGCTCTACAACTTTTATTATGAGTCCAAGAGTAATTTACTTAGTAAGAAAAAACATTTTAAATTGGTGCACTCCACATTTAGCTCAATAGTAAAATTTACTTATAAAAATTTGCAGATCTTCTCTGGTTGACTGGCAA